AGCTGTTTGTTACAGTGCTGGCCATATCTATAAACGCATCGCAAAGGGTGCATCTTAGTTCTTGATTGGATTTCCTCTAGAAATTATCCTAACGGGGACTTCGTCACTTTCATATAGTGTAGCATCTTTCCCTCGTAATCTAGAAATCCAGCCTGCGCAACATAAATCTGTTGAAAATGATGAACGCTCTTAACGGACGCTCTTATTTTTGCATTCACCGCTTTTTTAGTTTTCCATTTTTGTAGTAGTACCTAGTAACTTTAAACTTTGGATCATCTCGCATGCTAGATTATCTCTGCCCGAAAGGAATGCATTTCTGCTAAGTCTAGAATTTCCACCGCTCTTATTTTGCAGCAAAAGTTTTTTTTCTTTTCTGGTAAACTCTGAGGTGTAACGGAGTAGGAATGGTGTCTTTGAATGACTAAATATTTGAGGCCTACGACCTCAGAACTGTGCATCTGGAATTTGTTAGGGTGAAGTTATTATAACAGACAGGCTGGAGTAAGAAGAGGATGTCGCTGCTTTCACAATGCTGTAGTATGAATGGTATATTGGCAAAATCACAAAATTTTTTTAGAATCTAATGAATAAGAATTGAAATACCCATTATCTCGAGTGCGTTTATGTATATAAACAATATGCATATTGCGTTTGGCCCCTGGAACTGCCATGAGCATTATACAAAGTCCAATTAAATGAGTATCCTAGTATTGCTTTTTATTTACTAAAAGTATTGTGTATTTTTGAAAGCCTGACGGCATGCGGTGAGAACAGTCAATGTGGGGGGTTCCTTCACTCTCAAACATCAGGCTGTTTCATAGCGTCAAATGAGATCTAGAAGGCAAAAAGTAGAATGCATCTCTAAGCTTATTTCTTAATGGTATTCTGTCAATCATCAACTATTCTATTATATTAACGTTTGGGTTCATAGCCATATCAACTCTTTCTAAGCATACTGTTTTATTTATTTAGAAAAGAAGAAAACAGGATCATTCGGAAAAAGAAAGAGGATGAGCAGGAGCTCAAAATAAATCATGCGTAAGTAAAGTAAACCTGCTTTTTATCAAAGTTTAGCTGTTGTTTTGCTAATTCCTTTAGGCCAAAAATCTCTTCTGCTATGTTTCTAAAGTATAACAATCAACTTGGGCCACCCTTTCATATCCTTGTTGATACCAATTTCGTGAACTTCGCAGTCAAAAACAGACTAGATGTTATCCAAGGATTTCGCGACTGCCTGTATGCTCACAGTGAGTTTTTACTCTTGTTTGGGCCCGTTCCATGTTAGTTTTGATATGTCATTTTAGCAATCCCCTATATAACGGACTGTGTGATGGGCGAGTTGGAGAAGGC